CGCTCACATTTTCATGGACAATATTTCCAAACTTTTTCATGACTTTTCAAGGACTCTTCATGAAGAATTTTCTTTTTCTTTCCCCACTTGCCCGCCGTTTTTCAAACATCAGATTCAAACTCTATGTAAACATAATTGGCACACAGGAAGGGAGAGACAAACTGAGGGAGAAAATGACAAAACACACCTGATGGTAAACAAACATTGTCACACATCGACGCATATTAAAGCTACATTAAGACACCAGCTACAGAAAATGAATTTGCCATTATGTTACATTATACGGAGGGTTATCCACTGAAGATCACTCTAATAATTTCACTATACACAAACAAGTTCTGTGACTTATAATGATTTTGACTAATTTCATGACTTTTCCAGGTTTTCCATGACTCTTGCAAGTATAAAATTCATTCAAACTTTAAAGCAGTCTCCTCCTTTTGTTCTTTATCTCACTAGTTGAACTTTTCCAGACCTGCAATTTCAATTAAAATTCAGGATTTGGACTTCACTCCCCACTTTTCTTAGCATGCTTTATGGAACAGGCCTCTGAAAGCTCTGCCACATGTTTTGCATGTAAACAGTCTCTCTCCTGTATATGTGTGACTTAAACTGGAACCTCTGTGCTCAAGTCATGCACCTTTACACCTGCGTGCGTTCTCATGTGGACTGTCAAGTTATTGCTATATCTGAAGTGTTTCCCACATGTTTTGCAAGTATACGGCTTCTCCCCAGAATGAGTCCTCATGTGGTCTAACAAGTGACCATTACGACTGAAAGCTCTCCCACATACATTACAAGTATACGGCTTCTCACCTGTGTGAGTCCTCATGTGGACTAACAAGTGACCATCGTGTCTGAAAGCTCTCCCACATACTTTACAAATATACGGCTTCTCACCTGTGTGAGTCCTCATGTGGGCTAACAAGATACTGTTACGTCCAAAAGCTCTCCCACATACTTCACAAGTATATGGCTTCTCACCTGTGTGAGTCCTCATGTGGACTAACAAGTGACCATTACGTCCAAAAGCTCTCCCACATACGTCACAAGTATGTGGCTTCTCACCTGTGTGGATTCTACAATGCCTTTTCAATACTGACTTCTCATTGAATCTTTTCCTGCAGGTCTTGCAGGTTCTTATATGAGCGCTCAGTGCTGATGTGTCACTGAATTTTTTCCCACATGTTTTGCAAGAAAACTGCTTCTCACCTGTGTGGCTGTTCAGGTGTCTCTGCAATTTTGACTTGCACTCAAAAACTTTCCCACATATGTCACATTTTAAAGGCTTTTTACCTGTATTTAAGTTTATCACAGCAGAGGTGTGTGGACTGTTACTGTTCATTTCACTTTCATGATGTCTTTTCTCTGCTTGAAGCTCTGTGTTTCTAGTTGATCCTGAGTCTCCATGCTGGTATTCTTCCTCATCTTGGCTCTCAGCTACATGAGAGTTGTAACAGAGCAGCTGGTGCTCACCGTTTGGTATCACAGAGCTTATAACTGGCATTTTAAATACAGAATCTTTCTTTGCTGCACTTTGAGTGTCATCATGAATGAAGTCCAGAGTCTGATCTTCACTCTGCTCACTTTCCTCATCAGCAGGAGTCAACATAAAGCCATCAGTCTCCTGCTTCACTACAAGCTGCTCTCCCTCCTGACTGCTGCACACTTCCTCCTCTTCCTCTTTAATCTCTGGAGGCTCTGGCTCCTCTTGGTCCACACTGGACTTCCTCTCCTCAATACAGAGCTGCTGCTCAGGGACAACCTCCTCCTCCTTACACACATGTTGCTGTGGGAGCTCTGGAGGGACACACAACAACACCAACAGCATACTAATGTCATGCTACAGCAAATATACACACATGCCAATAAATTACTTCAATTAGCTTTCAACCACCTGTCCTGTGTAACTTTATTTCAGGATTCAAAACGATATCCAACAGTCTGCGCTGACGATCGATCACTTCCTCGTACTCGACGATGCTTCTTTAAAAAACTCCCAATATTTCTTCAGCAGCAGCAGTTAGTCGCTCGTTGACAAACACTCTCAAAGACTCAACTGAACACATTGTTGTCTAATGTAGGCTACAGTAAATGTGGCTCGAGGTTTAACTCATTCTTGTTCTTCCACTTACTCTTCTTCTTCTCCGTTCGCTTTATGGCGTTTGGCAAACAACTTTTAGGTGCATTACCGCCACCTTCTGGACTGGAGTGTGGAACAGAATATCTACGTATTAAATTCTATTTACGAGCTCTGTTGCTTCCAAAAACCTGAAAATCGCCCCAAACACAACATCTCCTGAGGTTCTCCTCAATAGATCTGCTACATTAAACGGTATCTCATTTCTCTGGAATGCTGCTTTGATGGTGTTTCTCTGTGTTTGGTAGTTTGGACACTGGAAGAGGATATGTTCTACAGTTTCTCCTGACCCACAATGTTCACAATTTCCTTTCTGTATTATGAATAATGTGCTATTTAACCCTGTTTGACCAAATCTCATGCGTGATATGACGTCTTCTTCCTTGCTGCTCCTATGACTTCCTCTCATTTCTCCAACATTCCTAAAACTGTCGACCTTTACTCTCTCTGTCCCATTGCTTCTGCCATTTCTTCTTCATCTCTGACTTTACTATACTTTCAATCTCGGCTTTACTGTATGTTACAACCATTGATATTTGTTCTTTTCTTGTTGCACTCTTGGCATACGTATCCGCCAGTTCATTCCCCTCAAATCCTATATGTGCTGGAACCCAAATGAACTTGATCTCTACTCCTGCTCTCTTTATTCCCTGTAATATATGTGCTATCTCAAATATTATATCTTGTCTTGTATCTTACTGAATATGTTTAATACTGACCAATGCACTACTGGAATCTGATGCTGTAAGCACTTTGCCTGGTCTGACTTCTTGTATCCAGTTCAATGCCATATGAATGGCCATTAGCTCGCCTGTGTATACTGCTAAGTCATCATTGATTCTTTTATTCGATACAATATTTAAATCTGGAACTACAAATACTATTCCTACCCTGTTTTGCCCTGATTTGGATGCATCTATGTTAATAAACTGACTGTATTTTCTATTTGTTCACTTCAATCACACTCACACTTTTCCCTTTTTCTTTCTTTAATAATCTCAAATCAATAATTGCCTCTTCCAGTGTCCAAGGTGGGACAATAGAAAGTGGAACTGTTTTACGCATATTTTTATCAGCTATCCTACTTTCTTTAACCCGGTTTTCAATTGTCCATCCAAAACATTGTACCTTTCTTCTTTCTTTCTCTTGACATAGTTTTAAAATATTCTGAGCTGGATGGTTTTCTCCATGTCCCCTTAAATGTGCCCAGTATATCAGTGATATTTGCTCTCTTCTAATTTCTAGAGGCATTTCACCCATCTCTACTTGCAAGGCTGACACTGGAGGGGCTTTCTTTGCACCACAACACACTCTTAGTGCTTGATACTGTATGCTATCCACATTGTTTTTGATGCAGATTCATATACATCCATAATCTAATACTGACCTAATTAAACCAATATATACTGTTTCCAGTGATGCTCTATGTGCTCCCCAATCTCTTCCTTTCAAACACCTAACAATATTCAATATCTTTTTACACTTTCCTACTACTTTTTCAATATGTGTTTTCCAAGTAATCCTTCTGTCAAACCAAATCCCTAAATACTTAAAACAATCCACTATTTCTAAGTCTTGCTCATTTAATTTTTTTTTTTAAGATTGATTTGATTTTGTATTCTCTTTTTGGTAACGACAACCACTTTTGTTTTGTTAACTGAAAATCTAAAGCCCCACTTCAGTGCCCAAGCTTCTGCCTTTCCAATAGCCTCCTGCAATTTCCCCACAATAAATGCAATATTTCGCCCCCTTTAGCACATAGCCCCATCATCTGCAAATAACGAAACACCAATAGAACTGCATACGTTACTAAATATGTCATTTATCATGATTGAAAATAAAATCAGAGTAATAATACTACCTTGAGGGGTTCCATTCTCAACTGTGTAGTTTTCACTCAAGTTTTTACCCACTCTTACTGATATCTTCCTGATCCATCTAAATATTTTCCCTCTTATTCCCATATGATATAATTTAATAAGCACCCCCTCCTTCCACATCATATCATACACTTTATCCACATCGAAAAACACAGCCACTATACTTTTATTTACGTGGGCTCTCCTTATCTCATGCTCTAAGCATAAAGCAGGATCTACCATGCTCCTTCCTTTCCTAAATCCACTTTGATAGCATTTTAATTCTCCCCTTGTTTCTAAATAATAATTCAACCTTTCATTAATCAATTTTTCCATAGTTTTGCCACATGAGATGTTAGAGCTATTGGCCTGTAGCTCACTGGCAAACTCTAGTCCTTACCTGGCTTACAAATAGGAACAATTATAGATTCTTTCCAGTGATTAGATAAGTTCCCCTTTTCCCATATCTTACTATACAATTTCAATAACACCTCTTTACTTTGATCACTAAGATTATCTAACATACAATAGCTTATTTTATCTTTTCCCGGAGTTGTTTTTCCAACGTTTTTTTAATGCATTATTCAGTTCTGTCACTGAAAACTCCATATTAATTACATTTCAGTATTCTTCTTCAACATGTATAGATTCAATATTTTCTAATACTGTTTTTTCCCTGCCTTCTTTCTCTTTATTACTCAAATTTACTGTACTGTGTACCTTAGCAAAGGTTTGTGCTAATAGCTCCACTTTTTCCTTGTCCTCTATTATAAAGTTCCTGTCATTTTTCATTACTGGATATCCATATTCTTTCCTATTACCTGACATTCTTTTGATCATACCCCACACTCTTTCCAAAGGTGTACTCCTACCAAGTGACTCACAGTACTTTCTCCAATACTCTCTTTTTGTTCTTTTTATTACTCTCCTCACTGTTGCCTGTTGTTTCTTATAATTTATTAAATTCTGAAAACAAAGAACTTTTTTACCTTAAAGGACTTGTTTCAAGCTTTTATTGCCTCAGTACATTCATTTGTCCACCATGGTACTAATCTTTTCTTTTTATTCCCACTGCTTCTTGGAATAGACTCCTTTGCTGCTTCAGCTATACTTTTACAAATGTCATTGTTCAGTTCATTAACCGACTGATTTACATTTATCATTCTCATTTTACCCTCACTCAGTATTCTGAACTTATCCCAGTTTGCTCCCTCAAATTTCCATCTCCCCTCTCCCTTGCTCTGATCAGTGACACTTTCCATTCCTATACTTAAATATATTGGATAGTGATCACTACCCACTGTGCTCCTCCTTAATACTTCCCAATTACTTTTCCCTGCCAAAGGTTGTGAGACCAATGTGAGATCTATTGATGACTCTGTGCCCCTTGCCAAATACACCCTTGTGCCTACACCAGTATCTAAACATACCAACCCTTTGTCATCTAGTATTTCCTCTATTACTTCCCCATTTGAGTCATCCTGGTCCCCCCACACTGTGCTATGTGCATTAAAGTCTCCACACCAGACTATTTTCCTTCGCCAATCATCAAGAATATTTGTAAAGATTTTTATAGTTTTTCTCTATTTTTAATCTTCCGTTGATAAAAATGGTGCTGCAGGCTAAACCGTGCAAGGGAGGGTGGTGCAATTTGGAGGGTTGGTCCAGACCCCTGCACGTACCTCAGACGCAAAAAACTACATATGTCCGCCTGCAGGGGGCGCTATAACCAAGGCCAACGCGTTTTGGCCTATAACTCCCACACTGTATGTCATACATTCAAAAACCTTATATCCCCAGATTCCCCGAATAGAGCGGAATCACTTTGCAATTGGCCACACCCACTTCCGCCTATAATTGTTTTTCCCGCAAATCGCAAAAACTAGAAAACCTACTTTTTTGAACTCCTCCTTGGGATTTTGTCCGATCTGCGTGAAACTTGGCACGTACACTCTTCACCTGGACCTGATCTAAAGTTATCAAAAGAATTTTGTTCCGTCAAAAATTCCGCAAATTATTAATCGACAAATTTGTGTAGCTAGCTATAAAAATGTAAACAGTTGCATACTCAGTCAAACTTAATGCTATCAACTAGTGATGGCAGTGCGACACTGAAGCTTCGATACGTGCTTCAAACCCTGGACTACAAACCACTGCTTCAAAGCTTGCTTTGGTGCGGAAAAAATCACGTGACATATGACGTCCGAAGCAGCAATTGCTTCGTTGCCTGAATGAATCACCTGACTGGTTTGCGGTCCAATCAGGTGATTCACTGGCACCGCCTCGTCTCGATTCTGACAGCTGACAGGTTGTGACAGTTTTGAATTTGAGCGCCACAACACTGTTAAAACTGCTCAAAACAATGCACAATTTGTGGGTTGTCGTAGTTGGTGTGTTATTGCTGTTGAGTTGTTGGTATTGCGTTCGTTTGTATTGGATCATTATGGAGCCAGCCAGGAAGAGAGGTCGTTCTGACATGTGGGAACACTTCAATCTGATCGCTCCTGATAAGGTAGGTGTGCTTTATGTTTAATAGGTAACGTAGGAAAAGTAAAGTTATAACTTACAACAGTAGCTGTCAGTACAGTACTACTATAGCTACTGTATGCTGTATCTAAAGTCTATATTAAGTAACTTAGCAGTAGAATGATGTATATGATTAGTGTAGCCATTAGGCTATAGCTTTATAGACTCAAATTGCATTTTTATTTACAAATTGCTTTCTCTACAGGTCTGGTGCTTGGTGTGTTCAACTGAACTGAAGTATCGGGAATACTTCCTCCATGATTAGGCACTTCACTGCCAAGCATGGAGCTACTAACCAGGGGAACACAAATCAAGGTAGGCTATATTATATTATTATTAATTAGACACACTAACACAATATGATATGACTGTATTCCATGACTCATAGGCCTGCTTCATTTAAATGCAATTTCACATAAATCCTTATTTTCTTTTATTCATTTTCTTTTTATTTCTTTATGTCTTTATTTATTTGTCTTAGTGGACCGGAAGCGAGAGCTAGATGAGGCTCTTGTCAATATGGTGGTGAAAGACTCGCAGCCTTTTTCCATCGTGGATGACTGTGGCTTCAAGGAGTTTGTGGCATTGCTTGATCCCACATACACTCTCCCATCCAGACGGGCTCTAAAGAACATGGTGGTCCAGAGATATGAGGAGGAGAAGACCAAGGCCAAGGCTGTCATGCAGAAGGTAGAGGCTGTGAGCCTGACTGCTGATATGTGGACCTCCATTAATATGGATGCATATCTAGCAGTGACCAGCCATTATGTGGATGACTCTGTGAAGCTGGCCACAGTGCTTTTGGGAGTGCTGCCTTTCCCTGAAACTCATACAGCTGCTAACATCACTGCTGCAACGAGGTCTCTCATGGAGGAATGGGGCATTGAAGGCAAAGTGACCTCAATTGTGACCGATGCAGGAGCTAATATGGTTGCCTCTGTCAGAATTCTAAATCTAAGACATGCAATTTGCTTTGCGCATGCACTAAATTTAGTGGTGAAGAAGTCACTTGATGCAACTCCTGGCCTAGAAGACCTACGCACAAGGGCACGAAAAGTGGTGAGTTTCTTCAAAACCAGCACAACAGCAAAAGAGAAGCTCAGAGAAGTGCAGGAGCAGATGAATCGTCCAGTGAAGAAGCTGATTCAGGAGGTGGACACACGCTGGAACAGCACCTTCCTCATGCTGCAACGCCTTTTTGAAGAGAGACAGTCAGTGGGAGCAGCTCTTGCGACGCTGAGAACAGACGTGAGACCTCTGTCCTCTGAGGACTACGAAACAGCTACTGCATGCCTGCAATTGCTTGCCCCCTTTTACCAGGCAACAGTAGAACTGTCAGAAGAGAAGAGAGTGTCAGGGTCAAAGGTCATCCCAATGATAAAAATGTTGATGTTGTATTTGTATGACACAATGGGAAAAATAAGCCACAACACCGCTAAAACACTGGGAGAGAACATGGCGTCACTGATGCAAAGCAAGTTCGACACGTCGGAGACCCAAAATGCACTGACCCTGTCAACACTGCTGGATCCAAGATTCAAGACCTTTGGTTTCTACAACCAAGTACAGGCACAGGCAGCAGTGAGACGACTGACAGCAGAATGCTCACAAATAATAAGACACACACCACCTGACACACAAACAGAACAACAGCCCTCCACATCAGCTCAACCAGCACCAGCAAATGTTGGAAATCCATCATCCACAGGTAATGTTATAAATATGAATAGATAAAATGCAGGACAAAATAAGGACTGATGAATACTGTCATGTTTGTCTTTCAGATATTAACCTTTGGGAAATGCTGGACAGAGATACTTCTGAAGCAAGGAGGGGAAGGAATGCCACAGCAGATGCTACAGTGGAGGTGCAGCGGTACATGACCGATCCACCACTGGAAAGATCAGAAGACCCACTGGCTTACTGGATGAACCATCAAAATGTGTACCCTCATCTGTTTCAGCTCGCAAAACAATTTTTATGCACACCAGCATCATCTGTTCCTTGTGAGCGAGTATTCTCCAAATGTGGAGAAGTTGTGAGCAAAAAAAGAAACCGGCTCAATCCAAATACTGTGGAAAAAATAATGTACCTCAATAAAAATCTTTGAGTGTTCCCCATCACACATAATCACCCCCTGCCATAGTTTCACAAGCACATTTTCACCCCCTGCCATAGTTACAAAAGCACACCCAACCTCTGCCATATTTTCCCAGCACTCTCTCCTCAATAACACAATACACACATCCATCAGTCTTTATTTGTAAATAGAACATATTCAGTCTGGAGTGTGTGCGCATCAATTTTCAAAGCAGACATTTAAATCCAAGGGTGATCAAAGCAAAGATGCTTCAGAACCCAAGTATAGTAGTTTCCCCAACACTGCTCATTGAGGTGTGTGTGTGTGTGTGTGTGTGTGTGTGTGTGTGTGTGTGTGTGTAATTAAACACCTCCTGTCCACCAACTAGCCTGCCTAATTTGATTGCAGCCTTGCACTTCGCCAGGAGAGGTCACTGTAACTGAAGCTTCGAGTAATGAACCCTTTTTCGAAACAATTGGCTCAAGTGGTTCAGTGCTTCACAAAAGCTTCATTTGCCCATCACTACTATCAACGACAAATCTCAGATCCTTAGTTGGCATGACACTGTGAAGGTATGAGCCGAATTTGGCGAATGTTGGCCACTAGGAGGCGCTACAAATATGGGAAGTTTATATCTCTTAAACAGCTACACCCATTTCTACGAAATTCGGTCAGTATGATGTAGGGCCATTTTACTGAGGCCATTTATTGAAGGTGGTCATGACTGGTCAATGTGGGCGTGATTTATTACAAAAAATCCAAATTGCCACACATTCAGCATTTCACACTTCCGGCGAATTTCCCATTACAGCAAATACCGCGGCTCGGATGTCGGCCTGCGTCCCTGCGCTCGGCCTTAGCCCGTCGTGCTTCAGGGCCGACTTCCGTGGGCTCCGTGAGGCACGGGGGCTTGGCCCCCGTTCATAACTGCTTGCAGTTCTAGTTTTGATTTTTTCTGTTTTAGTTTTTGCTTGATCTGAGCAGTTTATGACATATGCAAGGACTAGTTTAGTACTAGTTTTTCTGTTGACAGTCCTGTCTGCTGGTTTAATGCACTTGACTTCTTTGCTTCCTCCATCTCTTCCACCCTTTTTTCTTTGCTCACAATCTTTACTGCTTCTGCGTATGTCACTCTCTGTTCTGCCCTGACTTGCTGAATTTCAACAGCCTGCTTCCTCACTATACACCCTCCATAAGCCGCTGTATGATTTCCCCCACAGTTACAACATTTAACTGGGTTGTTGTTCCCACATTCCTCATGCAGATGCTCCCCTCCACATCTCCCACACATCTGCTTTCCCCTACGCACTGTAGCGACATGACCATATCTTTGGCACTTGTAACACCTGATAGAAGGCTGAACATACGCTCTTACATTAAAACTCATATATCCTATCATGATCTTATCCGGCAGAAATTGATCTTTAAATTCTAGCATCACTGATATGCTGTTAACTTTCTCACCGTCTCTGACTGCCTGCAGGTGCTTAATTTCTTTAACTATTCCTCCCTTAATCATTTTTTTAACTCCTCTAGGTTTTCTCCCAAGGGTATTCCTCTCTGCAGCTTGAGCCCGCTACAAAGTGATGTAATACACATGCCAAAGCAGTAGGTGGCGATGCCCACTCAATTGTGACATTATTTTATGCTGATGATATCGATTTTGTATCTTTACAGATACCCCTCATTAAATTTAAAGCATAACTGATTTGAGTAAAGGCACGAGAGCAAATCTGGGTAGCCTATATAAATGGTTGGTTTGTACTGCATACTTCAGTTCTGCTTCCTCAGAGTAAAGCTGCTGAAGACCAGCAAAATCACTGTTTGTTTTCATTTATTCTTTCAGGTGGGTAAATGTCACCTAAGCAGAGGTGGGTAGAGTAGCCAAATATTGTACTCAAGTAAGAGTACTGATACTTTAGAACAATATTACTCAAGTAAAAGTAAAAAGTAGTCATCCAAATAATTACTTGAGTAAGAGTAAAAGAGTACTACTCAAGTACTGAGTAACTGTTGAGTAACGTCTGATTTATTTGTAAAATTAGAACATGAAAGAAATCAATCAATCAAAAATAATAATCTGCAAATTCATGTATTTTAAACGACACCCCTTTACCTAAAACAAAAATAAATTAAATCTTTACAAACGTAACATAGCCTAAATCAAGGCACAAGAAACACAAATATATTCTTATTTATACTGTACATATGAGAGTATTGTTGCTTTAAAACAATATAACTCAAGTAAAAGTAAAAAGTATTTTGCATTAAAACTACTCTGAAAAGTACAATTTATTCAAAAAGTTGCTCAAGTAAATGTAACTGAGTAAATGTAACTAGTTACTACCCACCTCTGCACCGAAGCACCTTCAGATTTTATCAGTAGTGTACCCTTAATAGATAAGGTGTTTATATAGGCTAGTTTGTATTGTGCTTCGTGATACTGTTTGAGGGAACTGTAACGGGAGGTAACTGCATGTGAGTGGATGCAACCGGCACTAATACTAGCATAGTTCCTCAGGGATTTAAGCTGTTATTACTTTAATTTTGACAATCTAACCTGTGACAACACATTAGCTAAGGGTGTAAGGACTGTAACTGTTGGTAGCTGTGGTTGATTTTGTTTAAATATGTTGAATTATAATTTTATGGGTAATTGTTTGTCGGACGATTGAGCTAAGCTAACTAACGCTAACGTCAGCTGTCACTTGTTGCCGATTGCCGTAGCAACGGTAAACATTCACATACGGGCTAAGTGTAGAGTGCCGAATCAAGCTTCGTTGTAAATATAGTTAAGATACATTGTATTATGTGGGATTTTAGTAGTCAGTAAACTTTTAGAAAACTGTATATGTATAGGGTGAATTCAGGTAATGTGGGACAGTTTTTGGTAGATGCTCCGGTAGACTTATATAAAAACTATTTACTTGCTCCAATGATGTTTCATTAAATCATTTTAGGCCTTATTAACATTTTATGTTTGAATTCAGTGGGAATACAATCTTTTTTTAGAAGCTACACACCTTCAAACATAACATGACACCCTCTTTCGTTCGAGCAGCATGTTCAGGTAATGTGGGACAGTTTGTTTGGTAAAGTGGGACAGTCATTCTTAGATTTAAAAAACAGGCCTCTTTGCAGTGAATACAAATCATTTCAATTAACAATTAACAATTAAAGTTAGGGTACTTTTCAAAGACAA